AAAAAAAAAATTTTTAAAAACAGAAAAGCTTAAAAAAAAAAACAGAAAAGCTTAAGAAGATTATAGAAAAATATAACAATGGTATAATAATAAAGCCACACAACATAAAAAGAATACAACCTATCTAAATTATTAAATTATTATGACTGCTTTCATGCTATAACAGCAGAGTTCAGTCGCTGTAACAGAGAACTCATTATATGGCCTCCATATCCTAAAATATTCACTTTCTGACCCTGAAAGGAAAAGATAGCTAGCCCTAGCACTATATTTACAGAATAAAGGAGAAATACATTCATCTCAAGAGAAGCAGGAAACATCTGATAAAATTCGATACTCGTTCATAATTTAAAGAAATAATAAATAAATATATAGAATAAAGAAAATAATAGTAATAACTCTCGGTAAATTAGAACCTAGAAGTAGTTCCTTAACCTGATAAAGGGTACAAAACCTGCAACAAATATCATTTTAACAGTGAAATACTACATGTATCCCCATTAAAGTACGAAACAAGACAAGGGTGGCTGTTATCCGTCCTGTTCTTCCTGTTCTTATATCAGAGGTCCTAATGAGTAGGGAGGTAATGAAAAAGAGGTATAAGAATTTCAAAAACAAGAATTAAAACTGTCTTCGTTTAAAAATAATATAATCCCATAGAATGTACAACATCCAGAATGGACCCTCATGTAAACTATGAACTTTGGGTTTTACAATTTGTCAACACAGGCCCATCAGTTTTAATGAATGTACCCTCTCGTGGGGGATGTCGATAATGCGGGAGGCTGTACATGTGTCGAGACAGGGAATAGATGGGAACTCTCTGTGCCCGCCTCTTAATTTTACTGTGAACCTAAAACTGCTCAAAGAAAGTAAAGTCTCGGGGCGCCTGGGTGGCTCAGTCAGTTAAGCGTCCGACTTCAGCTTAGGTCATGATCTCGTGGTTGTTTGGGTTCGAGCCCTGCGTCAGGCTCTGTGCTGACAGCTCAGAGCCTGGAGCCTGTTTCAGATTCTGTGTCTCCCTTTCTCTCTGACCTCCCCTGCTCATGCTTTCTCTGTCTCTCAAAAATAAACATTAAAAAAATTTTTAAGTCTCTTTTAAGTAAAAATCTATTAATTACCCATTGAGAGTAATAAAAGAGTGGAGAAAGATCACTGGATTCAAACTTGACATGAAATCAACCCAAAACCTAGAGGGTAGAACTGTATGATAAGGCTGGCAAAAGATGATTTCTGCATCCATAGAAGGGAATAATGCTGGAGATTTGGGGGGAGTAGGAAATGAGAGAGTAGGCCAGATATCACTGCCACCAATGCAATTCTTCGCGTGAAAAAACAGGAGAGACAAGAAGCCATACCAAACATCTCCCAAACTGTCCAAATCCTTGAGTTTGTTACAGAGAATAGTAATTTATCCAGGGCTCATATATCAGAATAATATTCACTAAGCAGTAAACCCAGTTCTTCACAGAACACCCAATTTCTATTCCAAATATCGACCATCACTGTACTCTCTCACATGCCCATGTTTGTTCCTGAAGCCACCCCAGGCACTTCTTTTTTATTTTTTTAATGTTTATTTATTTTTGAGAGAGAGTGCATGTGAGTGGGGAGGGCAGAAAAAGGGAGGACAGAGGATCCAAAGCAGGCTTGCCACGACAGCAGAGAGCCCAATGCGGGGCTCAACACCACAAACTGCGAGATCATGACCTGAGCCAAAGTCAGACACTCAACCAAGTCACCAAGGCACCACCCCCCACCCTCCCCAC